GAGAGAGAGAGAGAGAGAGAGTCGATGAGAGAGATCGAAGAGAGAGGGGAAAAAGGAAATAACTGATATTCCCTATTCAATTCATAATATAAAAGGATATTCATTAATACTAATTTGTATATAATTGGTAAATTGTATATCAACTTGTAATTAAATAAACCTAAACGATAAAGGTAAATAAGTTTTTAATAGTACATATATGTAAATATCTCTTAAATATACAAAAGATGGGCCAAGTTGCACGGGTTGAGCTATTGCCCATTGTATAGCTCATCTTGACCTAACCTATCTTAGCCTAAGCAAACTTTGGGCAAGGTTGGACAATGACCAATTTATTAGTTTAGTCTATCTTGACCCACCCAAACTCAGGCCAATTCGCCCATTTGATACTTCTACTTTTAGTGCAAATTTATGTTCTCCTAAAAGAAAAGAAAATAATAAAAGTAGTCCCGTATGTTTGGTGTAGGTTCAAAATAATCTCTTAAATATATTATTGCATAGTTTTGATCCTTTAAATGTCAAAACTGAAATATTGTTTATCTATGTTAAATATTTAATAAACTATTAGCCTATTTGGCCGAACTTTTAAAATCACTTTATTTTTTAAAAATATATTTCTCAAAAGTGTTTAAGTGCGGTTTTGTCTTATTTTTTGTCTGTCGACACAGTATAGGCTCTTGTTAATAGACTTGGAGGTCAAGGTAGCAAGGAAGAAGAGAACGGTGTACGGCCAACCTAAGATCAAGTGGGGAGCCTTGACTAAGGGAAAGGCTCAGGAGTTGGGGGAGAAACTGTTGGCTATGGGGGCCTGAAGTAGTAAAAGGGACGCGGGTAGTATGTGGATAACGACAGCGAACTGCATTAGGGAAGCTGTTAGGGAGGTGTTAAGGGTCTCGAAGGGTTACTCGGGTGGCCATAAAGGAACTGGTGGTGGAATGGAGAGGTCCAAGGAAAAGTAGAAGCTAAGAAAGCGGTGTATATGAAGCTAGTGGGGAGCACGAACGAGGAAGAGCGGAGGTCTTATATGGAGTGTTATAAGAATGCAACGAGAGAGGGTGCTCGCGGTCACAACGGCTAAGACTGCAGCTTTTGGAAGATTGAATGAGGATCTTAGGGGCAAATGAGGGGATAGAAAACTGTACAAGTTAGTCGAGACTAGGGAGAGAAAGGCTCGAGACTTGGATCGAGTGAGGTGGATCAAAGACGAAGATGGTAAGGTATTGGTGGAAGATGCGTGTATCAGGCGTAGATGGCAGAAGTACTTCCATAGACTCTTAAAAGAGGAAGGGGATAGGAACATCGTGTTGGGCGAGTTGGAGAACTCAGAGAGTCGGAGAGATTTTGGGTTTTGTAGGGGTATTAAATGCGAGGAGGTTGATGTGGCAATACAGAAGATGAGCAGGGGTAAGGCGACTGGGCCTGGCGAGATCCCGATGGAATTTTGGAAAGTAGCGAGTATGGTAGGCTTGGAGTGGCTTACTAGCCTGTTTAACGTCATTTTCAAGACGAAGAAGATGCCCGAAGATTGGAGGTAGAGTTTGATGATTCTGTTGTAAAAAACAAAGGTGATATCCAGAACTGCAATAACTATTGGGGTATCAAGCTGCTAAGTCACACTATGAAGGTTTTGGAGAGGGTGGTGGAGCAGAGAGTGAGGACATGTGTATCTATCTCTGAGAACCAGTTCGAATTTATGCCGGAACGGTCAACTTCAGAAGTCATTCACCTTGTGAGACGATCGGTGGAGCAGTATAGGGAGAGGAAAAAGGATTTGCACATGGTGTTAATTAACCTTGAGAAGGCTTATGACAAAGTCCCGAGGGAGGTGCTATGGAGATGTTTGGAGGTTAGCGGAGTCCTGGTAGCGTACATTAGGGTGATTAAGGACATGTACGAAGGTGCTAAGACTCGGGGTGAGGAATGCAGGAGGAGACTCAGAACATTTCCCTATGGAGTTGGGGTTGCATCAAGAATCATGCCTTAGCCCGTTTTTGTTTGCCCTAGCGTTGGATGTGCTGACACGACACATACAATGGAGGGTGCCATGGTGTATGTTATTTGTTGACGACAAAGTTCTGATTGACGAGGCGCGATGGAGTATTAATGCTAGGTTAGAAGTTTGGAGACAGACGCTGGAGTCGAAAGGTTTCAAGTTGAGTAGGTCGAAAACTGAATACTTGGAGTGCAAGTTTAGTGATGAGAGGCATGAAGAAGAAGTGGAAGTAAAGATTGATACCCAAGTTATTCCTACGAGAGATAGCTTCAAGTATCTTGGGTATATAATCCAAGGCAACAGAGAGATTGACGAGGATGTTACCCACCGCATTGGAGCGGGTTGGATGAGATGAAGGCTAGCTTCAGGGGTTTTATGCGATAAGAATGTGCTGCCTAGACTTAAGGAAAATTTTTACAGGGTGGTAGTTAGACCGGCTATGTTGTATGGAACTGAGTGTTGGCCCGTCAAGAAGATGAGCGTAGCTGAAATTAGGATGTTGAGATGGATGTGTGGACATACCAGGATAGACAAGATCAGAAATGAAGTTATTAGGGACAAGGTGAGAGTGACATCCGTGGAAGCCAAGTAGCGGGAATCGAGGCTGCGATGTGAGAAGGAGAGACATAGATGCCCCGATCAGGAGGTGTGAGAGGTTGGCCATGGCGGGCTTGAGGAAGGGCAGGGGTAGGCCAAAAAAGTATTAGGGAGAGGTGATTAGGCAGAACATGTCGGTGCTTCACCTAACCGAGGGCATGACTAGCGATAGGAAGGTGTAAAGGTCGAGGATTAAGGTGGTGGGTTGACAAGTAATTGTGAGTTTCTCATAGGTTTACCAGCAGTAGTAGTATTATTCTTGTTGTTGGTTGAAAGTTACTTCCTTTTAGTTTGTTATTATATATGGTACTTATCAACCTCGTCCATTGATTTTGAAAATTGCTACTGGAAATTGTTGTTCCCTGATTGTTACTATTTGATGCTACACTTTCTCCCTTTTACTGAAAATTGTTGCTCCCTGATTGTTACTATCTGATGCTACTTTTTCTCCTCTTTTTTCTTATCGTCTTTTGTCTCCCTCGTCTTTCTTTCTCCCCCTCTTTCTTCTTCTTCTTTTTTCCTTTTCTTCTTTTCCACCTTATCTTGAGCCGGGGGTCTATCGGAAACAGCCTCTGCACCTCTCCAGGTAGGGGTAAGGTTTGCATACACACTACCCTTTCCAAACCTCACTTGTGAAATTATATTGGGTATATTGTTGTTGTTGTCGTCTTAATTTTTAACACAGATTTGTCTAGCTGTTGTAAATTAGTTTGGCTAACGGGATGTAATATCAGAAAGTACAGCTGGGTGCAAGCACTTCTAGACAGCTAGTTATGAAATTGTTTTCTAATTTGATTTCAAAGCCCATGTAAACCGTGCAGGGCCCATATCCAAAGAGAAGTGGCCCAATAAGGTGGATCGAAAAGCCCAGTTAAGCAGATCCATCTGAAGCAGGAAGACTTGTCAAAAAAGAAGAGCTAACTTGGTTTGAGAATTGAGATCTCCTCTACTCTACTCTACTTGTCATCAGGAGAAGGGAAGATGACGATGTTCCACTTTTTCAACTGTGCAATCCTAACTTTCGGACCTCATGCTGTCTATTACTCTGCTACCCCTTTGTACGTTCTTCTTCTTCTTAAATAGCCCAAACTTAGTTATTTTTTCAAGAATGATTTCGATCTGCGTCGATGCAAATTCGCTTTGGTTTTCTTATGTTTTTGGTTGAGTTATTTCTTTTGGGGTTTCATGTTTAGTGTTATTATATGCAATTTAGTAAACTGTATTTTCTCTTATGATTTACTGGCAGCTTGATATGCTCTGAATTTAGCATTTTTTATTGTAGGAGTTAATGTTTTGAGTTATTTCTTTTGGGGGTTTCATGTTTAGTGTTATTATATGCAATTTAGTAAACTGTATTTTCTCTTATGATTTACTGGCAGCTTGATATGCTCTGAATTTAGCATTTTTTATTGTAGGAGTTAATGTTTTGAGTTATTTCTTTTGGGGGTTTCATGTTTAGTGTTATTATATGCAATTTAGTAAACTGTATTTTCTCTTATGATTTACTGGCAGCTTGATATGCTCTGAATTTAGCATTTTTTATTGTAGGAGTTAATGTTTTGAGTTATTTCTTTTGGGGGTTTCATGTTTAGTGTTATTATATGCAATTTAGTAAACTGTATTTTCTCTTATGATTTACTGGCAGCTTGATATGCTCTGAATTTAGCATTTTTTATTGTAGGAGTTAATGTTTTGAGTTATTTCTTTTGGGGGTTTCATGTTTAGTGTTATTATATGCAATTTAGTAAACTGTATTTTCTCTTATGATTTACTGGCAGCTTGATATGCTCTGAATTTAGCATTTTTTATTGTAGGAGTTAATGTTTTGAGTTATTTCTTTTGGGGGTTTCATGTTTAGTGTTATTATATGCAATTTAGTAAACTGTATTTTCTCTTATGATTTACTGGCAGTTTAAAAAGTTACATTTATGGGTAATATTTATTAAATTATTGAAAAGATGCTATCTTTTTAGGTTATATGATTAAACATTGTTATTGGTTATGGCTTAACATTCGTTCTTTTTCTTCATGAGTCGTTGTCATCAATGCTTAAGTGTTTTTTCATAGTATTTGAAGTTTTAAGTGTATTGTTAACCATGGTTAAGTGGCAAAAGTTGATGCAAAAATTGATGCATTTATTGGTTTGATGCATACACTAGATAAGAAATTTTTCATACTATGTGGGATAAAGGACCGGGGAGGTGGCAGGTATCCCGTGTAATTAGTCGAGGTGCGCGCAAGCTGGCCCGAACACCATGGTTATTGAAAAAGGACTAGGGAGGTGCTTTGGGTTATTTTGTCTCTTAAGATTGATATTTTCTGTTTATCTGATTAATGTTGGATCGAGCATATATATCTAGATACACTTATGCAGCTAGGCCTTTCTTAGACCTTCTTTTTCTGTTTAATCTTACTACCATCTTTTGCTAATAAGAAGTAAGAATCAAAGCAGAGGATTATGGCCTTTCTTTTGGGCATTTGTTCCTTTCCTTGCTTTTAATTTTTTAAAGATGTGCAAGAGTGATGGCAATTGCATCAGGGTATCCTTAACTTTTTGCCTCTTGTTTGCCGGTGTGGCGATGTTTAGACTTTAGACTTTAATACTTAAATCTGACGCTTAATAGTATTCTGTCTACTCCATCACTTTCATGGTCTGCTTTCAAAATTAATCATATTGTACTGCTGTTACGTATGATATAAATCTGTCCTTCTTGAGTGAGTTGCTATGTTCCTTTATCTATTGATTCTATAATTTTAGAATTAGGTCATCATCTTATGACCTTGATGTTCAATTGTGACACATTCCATGACATGGAAGGGAGGCCTCTTTTAACCAATACCATAATTTTGAACAGAACTTTTTTTTTTTTTGAAAAGGAAATTTTAAACAAAGGTTGAAACTAAGGTGTTTCTATGCAGGTCCGAGTATGACACACTGTGGACTTCAATAAGAGCTGCTGTTGTTTACCTTGTTACCGCACTAGTAAAGGTCAATAACTACTGCTCGATTATGCCATGACTATGGATTCATTACCTATTTTTACTAAATGGAATTAGCTCTCTCCATCAAGAACATGAAAAAGAGAAACTGAGAGATGAATTGAGTTTTAAGCTCTAAGTACCAATTTAACCAGAAACAATGTCAAAGAATATGAACTTAGTTTGCTGGATCATGCTATTTTTGTTTATTTTATTCCTTTTGGTATCCCCATTGAGCTCATTTAGCTTCTTTTCTTTTCAGCTAGTTTGTCTAGCAACATTTCTTAATGTATCTGAAAGCGACAGTTTTGATCCATATCAGGTAATGTAGTATCCCCCTTTTAATATGTTTCCGTTATCATAACCACTATCATCTTATTTTTGGAAGTTTTGCTCGTCTTACTATCAAGGATCAATTTGTATATTTCATGTTTCTTCTATAATAGATACTCATAGCTTCAGTAAAATAGGATTGCTGGCCTTTATCACACCCCAGCCCCCTCTTATTTTTTTTATTTTTACCTTAAACTCATCCCGGCGGCAGGGCATGTCGAAAGCTTCCTTGTCTGAATGAGAAACCTGCAGCTTATAAACTTTTCCGATCATGTCTTCTTTCTTATTAAGATTGATAGGAACCCATGGCTTTTGGTTTGGTTCTTCAACAGCTACTGATAAATACAGATCTTATTTGTATGGGTTAAACACAATTGAATTTAACTGTCTATAGACGACCCATATTTCATGGCTTGTTTAAGTGTAGGTTTGCTTATAGACTGGGCTTGAAGTACTTTTGAGTCTTCTTTTTCTTCAACCATCCTTTTCCCCAACCATTTGCTTTATCCATCTAGCAGAGTTGGATGACCCGAGAAATTGGAACTTGGTGAGAAACACTCAATTAGAAACCACAAAGCCGCCCCTTCCGATTTTCTCTTTTCATTGTTTCAGCATGGTAGGAGGAATGTTTCTTTTGGTTTCTTTCCTAGGAATTTGGATTCATGCTGAGCAAGGAAAAACCGAAACAAACGGGAAATCAAAGCATTTCGGTTGGTTCAATTGAAACTAATGAAAGGAAAATTTAATCTTTTACTGTGTTAGAGAAACTTGGACAAATGATGAATCAAATGGTCAAAGTATGTTCTCTTCATGTGTTCCATACACCAAAAGCTTTTCAATAGGTTGATCTTTGGTGTCCTTTCTTTTTCCTGGCAAGAATGCCTGATGTCTAGCAAAAAAAGTTAAATCCTATTTGCAATTTAGTGATGGTTTTCTGTTAGTTTTTTTTTCAGAAAACATTTGCTAATAGCTGATTGTGAAATGCACCTTTCCCTTTTGTAGGAATTGTTGAAGGCCGTATTCGGGTTTATAGATGTTGCGGGCCTATACTTTGCTATGACACAGTTAACACACAGAAATATTTCACAGAATCATAAGTTTCAAGCTGTTGGACTTGGTGAGTATGATTTACTTTTGCCTGAATTGAAATAACAGTCAGATTTTGATTACTGGGTGATAAGACCTATTTAGCCTGACAAGTCAGCTTTGTTTCAAAATGTTGGTCTATGCGATTTGGTTAATACCTTTTTTAATTGATTCATTGGATTCTTCAGAAGGTAAAAGAGTATTATAAAATGGAAGGCAGATAAATGATAATAGGTGTCATTGGCTGAATTTTCCACCTTATCTATGTTAACTTCTTCTGTAATGGTTTGGGTGCTTGAAGCTTTGTGGTTGAATGAGCTACATGAGAAGATAGTATGTTAATAAGTTATGGTTGGTGTGACTACCTGATTCTTGAATGTATACTTTGTACCAAAACACAAGTTCTTGAATTATATTAATAATAAGTGGGTTGCCAGACAAAGTATCTGAGGGTGAATAGAAATTGGACTAGTGTCTTTAATCACTGACAGATCATACTTGTGGCAAAGTTTGTCAAAGCACAAACTTGAAAAGGTAAAGTCATATTGCATCATTTTACTAAAAGTGCAGATATAATTGGTCAAAGGAGTCTAACAACTGAGAATGGGAGTTCCAATCACAGTATGGCAAGTTAAGAAGGGGAAACATGGTAATAGTATTTTTCTCGTTTGTTGGACATAATTGTCTTAGTTCCATCATGGTGATCTTATTGTGGTACACTGGTTGTGATAAAAAGAAAATGCTGAATGAGAGGCTTAGGATCTACCTCCATCCGACCCTTTAATTTTTATTTTTTATTTTTTTTGGTTAGGTTAAACCAGGGAGTAGCAATTGAAACAAATTTATGTATAAAAATGAAACCAATGAATATCCGTGCTTTAGAAGTTGCTGTAACTTACTTAGCATTATTTTTTTTTTGTGTTCACAGGGTGGGCTTTTGCTGATTCTGTTCTGCATAGATTGGCTCCTCTTTGGGTGGGTGCTAGAGGATTGGAGTTCACATGGGACTACATCTTGCAAGGCCTTGAAGCTAATGCAAATTTGGTACAATTTATTCTTCCTTGTTAACTAGTTAGCCTTTGCAGTGCAGCACCTCCTTCTCCCAAATACTCAAGCCCAGAAACCCCTTCCCCCAAGGAAAACAAATAAAAGCAAAGAAGGAAAAGAGAACTGTCTTCACTGCACTTAAGGGTGTGGCCTAGCGGTCAATGAAGTGGGTGAGAACCATGAGGTCTCAGGTTCAAATTCCGGTGGAGGCAAAAAAAAAAAACAGTCTTCACTGTATAAAACTTTAAAATCATATATCATTAGATAATATGGAGTCATAATGAAGTTTGTCATGTCCTTCCTATCGTTTCTTGTTTTCGACTTTAACTTTTGGTCTTACTTCAGGTTTTCAGTATATCACTTGCAGCATTGGGTTCTCTAATGTGGCTTCGGAAAAATAAACCCAAGACATTGATCCCCATCATATATGCATGTGCTGGGATTGTGGCAACAATGCCATCCATAACCAGGTCTGTTCTTATTATAGTGCATTTATTCAGAATGAATCTAAATCTTAAGTAGCTGCTTCACATGAATGAAGCAGTACAAATGCTTCTACTGCTTTGAAAAGATGCATTAGTACTAAAATATTTCTTGTGTACAGTGATAGTAGCTATGGCCAGAAATAAGGGGGATATCAATTAGCAAAATGCATTTTACAGACATCTTTTTACTACAAAAATAGACCAGCTCAATCTATTTTAGTTGTCTCTATCTAATAATACAAACCAACTCTATGCGGCCCTTTGCACATAATTGTTTTGTGAAAAACATTTTTTATGCTCGAGAAGCCAAATGACAAAATGTTAGGATAGGGAGTCAGTTTGCATTGCTAAAATTAGCAATTATTTGTCCAGCATTAATTTGACCTGGATTTTAAAGCTGACAGCCTGATCTGGAAGCAATAACTTCTCTTCAAAGAGAACAATTGCTTGTCTTTTCTTTGTCTTTTTTCGTGGCTGATTCAAAAGACAGACTTGCTAAGCCATTGATATGGTGTTTGCAGTTATCTGAGGCGAGGCTTGGGTTGGCACCTTCCAAAAGTGGTAGGCTTTGAACTGTTCAGCTCATTGCTAATTGCTTTTATCAGTTGGCAGTTGTTTGTTGCATGCCAGAGACCGTCTAACTGAGGGATTACTAAATGACATTTCCTCGTGGAAGTTGGCATGCAGTTTCTTCGGTGATGAGTATGTTCTATCCAGTAACATTATTTTTCAAGAAATTTTGCGGGTATTTGGACTAAAGCTTTTCGTTGAATAACTTTATGCCCTTTACCATTCACTCTGCAAGTCAAGCTTCTTGACATTGGAATGTCTTGCGGCAAAAATTGACACGGAGGGAATTCGTTGGTTGTGCAATTTTGACGTGTACTGGTTTATGAAGATTAGATTATACCGACTCTTTGACATTTACATGTCTGAATGTTTAGTACATTTCTGAGCTCCACTCATAATCCATGACTGTTCTTGCACAGAAGTGCTCTGTATGGATAGAATTATCAATTCATTTTCGCAATGTTTGTTTGTAGTATTTTGTGGCATGCAAAGCTATGTGCTACGGGCCTACGGCAATCTGCTACTGTTAATAGATTTTTAGCACCATGCTCCTGACTAATAACTTGGTTAGTGATAGCAACAAATGGGTAATAGACAACGTTATATGTAAAATTTAGGACTCTCATTAATTATAAGGAAAAGAAAGAAATTAAAAATTCCATTGGTAACCAAAAATTTATTATGTTATTAAATACCAAATATTACAAAGCTTAACTCCTCAGAGACCAAAAAATAGTAAAATTTCTATACCAAATGTATTATCTTACATTAATCGTTGTAGACGCAGGGTATAAAAATGTTAGGAGTATTAATATTCGATCATGCATTCTTATTCCATAATATACATTTACATTAATTAGTACTAATAGCCCAAGAAAATCATGTTAATCTAAAGTAAACATCCAAACCTCTCAGTAAAACAATCCATTCATTTTTTTTTTGTTATTATTTTGAGGTGTCAACCAACGGCCTAGAGCAATTTAAGGTTTATCTTTGTTTCCTCTATTATTTTCTGGTGAAATGCATTGTAGTCTTCATCACCATTGGCCCCTCATTTGTTCCCTAAATACTCTCCTTTTCTTCATGCAAGAGAATGTTTTAATGACTCAATTCAAACACTGCATTGACATAATTTGACCATAATCTGCAACCCCATCTCCCACCCAAAAAAAAAAAAAAAAAAAAAAAAAAAAAAAAAAAAAAAAAAAAAAAAAAAAAAAAAAAAAAAAAAAAGCAATCGTCATTTCTCGTGTGATGAAGTTTTTTTTATCTTTCATAATTTTCTTCTTGTTTTAGAAGCTGTCCCTTTTGCAAACCATCTTCCATAGGGCAGCCTTGGGGTTCATCCGAGGCAGCTTGTTACTCCAAACTTCTCCTCCAAAAATGCAGGTCTATCGATGTTTTTTCATTTTGTTGTTCTCCTCTATTCTGTTTTCATTGTCTGCTGCACTCTCTGACCATGAAGCATCACTTCTTGCACGGCGACAACTCTCAACACTACCTGAAAATGGTAAATTACCCGATAACTATGAATTTGAAGTCCATGTAAATTACACATTTCCGAATTCCAGGTTTAGACGTGCCTACATTGCATTAAAGGCATGGAAAGAAGCTGTATATTCTGACCCTTATAAATTCACTAGCAATTGGAAAGGTCCACATGTTTGTAAGTACAAGGGTGTTTTTTGTTCGCCGGCTTTAGATGATCCTAATGTCACTGTTGTTGCTGGGATTGATCTGAATCATGCAGATATAGCAGGCTATCTACCTGTAGAATTAGGATTATTGACGGATGCAGCTTTGTTCCATCTCAATTCCAATAGATTCTGTGGAATTATTCCAGAGAGTTTCTCTAGGCTTAGATTGATGCATGAGTTAGATCTTAGTAACAACCGTCTTGTTGGTCCTTTTCCTAAGGTTGTTCTAAACATGCCTAACCTTAAATACTTGGATTTAAGGTTTAACAACTTTGAGGGAGAGTTGCCACCACAATTGTTTGACAAAGATCTTGATGCTTTGTTCTTGAATGACAATCGATTCGTCTCCACCATTCCTGAGACTATTGGAAATTCTTCGGCTTCTGTTATTGTCTTTGCTAATAACAAATTCCATGGTTGTATTCCCAGCAGCATTGGAAAGATGTCAAACTTGGACGAGATTGTATTCAGGAACAATGATTTAGGTGGATGTTTGCCTGTTGAGGTCGGGTTGTTAAAGAATATAACGGTGTTTGATGTTGCTGGGAATTCATTTTCTGGAATTTTACCAAAGACTCTTAATGCTCTTTCACATGTTGAACAATTGGATCTTTCACATAATACCTTAACTGGCTTTGTGCCGGAGAATTTATGTCGTTTGCCAAGTTTGAAGAATTTCACGTTTTCGTTTAATTACTTCAATGGTGAGGCTAAAGGTTGTGAACCAAATGTGAGGAAAGATGTGTTTTTTGATGATACTAATAATTGTTTGCGTGATAGACCAAAACAAAAGTCTCAAAAACAATGTCAACCTATTGTGAGCAAACCTATTGATTGTAGTAAGGCTAAATGTGGAGCATCATCATCAAAATCTCTTCCTCATAAGGAAAAGAAAGAGAAGCCACAACCTCAACCTCCTAAACCAAAGCCTATTTCTCCACCTACCCCTAAGTCACCACCCACCCCTAAACCATCTCCAAAGCCTCAAGTTTTCACTCCACCACCTAACCTAAAGAAGGCTTCTCCTCCTCCACCACCTTTGAAATCGTCTCTGCCGCCACCTGTTCATTCTCCTCCTCCTCCTCCTGTTTCCTCTCCACCACCACAAGTCTTTTCACCACCGCCTCCAGTACATTCACCACCACCACCTCTTCGCTCTCCACCGCCACCTGTGCATTCCCCACCACCACCGCCAGTCCACTCTTCACCACCACCACCCGTCCACTCTCCACCGCCACCACCGGTTCATTCTCCTCCACCACCACCACCGCTAAAATCTCCACCACCTCCTCCTCCAAGGTTGTCTCCACCTCCACCCTTTGAAAATGTTATCCTTCCACCAAACATTGGTTCAATTTATGCTTCACCACCTCCGCCTGTATTCCCTGGATATTAAACAGTGGAAACTCCGTTTCTTTTCACCTCTGCAATTAGTTAGTAGCGTGTTCAGTACATGTAGAACTGCATCATCGTATTTATCTCTTGTTTTTAAGAGTATCTAGTATACGATGATGTTTTGTCTTTTTTCCTTTTAACTGATTGGATATCATTCTGGAAGGATTGTATATGGAATTGTTGTAAGAGTTAGTTTTGTATCTTGACAGTTATGTCTATTGTTTCTAAAACAAAAACGCAAACAAACGGTCATGTTTGCACACGAATTTAAGAATAAATAGCACTAAAAGTGCATAGTCGAGACCCCTCAGAAAAATGTAAAATAACAATGAATTGAGCATAAACTTCATTTTTCTTTTTAAATATTGTTGGCTAAATATTATTGATCTGTGTCGGATTACACTTTAAATGACTGATTGACTGTGTAAAGAATTTCTCTACTATCGGGTACTAAAAGATAATGAATTTTCTTTGACAAGTTAAATTATATACTTCATATATATGGGGTACTTTTCATGCAGTCAGCTTATAACCTTATAGGCAAAAGTAACAAATAATTACCTAAAGAACAGTGGAAGCTAACAGAAACATGCATGGTACTTTGCGATGAAAAGAAAATATGGCCGTGGAAATCACATGTTTATAAGAAAATGCAGTATAAACTTGATGTATCACTTTTTCTATCATATTCAAAACGATAAATTGTGCCTTCCATGCAATGGCGAATGTGTCCTTTAGGCAATAGGTTCATCGGAATATGATATTTTCGAGGCAGATCATATATAAATATATCTTTAAAATTAAAATTCACTAAAATATCAACAAATAATATATTTGAACTCAGTGATTATAAAAGTACAATAAATTGAGTGCTAACAATATTAATGAACAAACTTGACCTCGAGTTGTTATGCAAGAAGGATACACGATGTTTTCCAATTTGTAGGGTAATAGAAGTAGCAGTTGACAACACAACTTGAAAAAAAAAAAAATTCCTTTTAACTGCGTGTGTGCGTGACACATATATTTAATAGGTTGATATGACTTGTGTTTACCCGAAAAACGGATAGAGTTGAATTTGTACGTAGTTCTAAGAATATGTGGTATAGCTTAATACAAATCGTGAGGATATATACAAATCTTAAATACGGATACCAAATAAACAAGGTTGGAAAGAAGATAATTTTTAGGATTAATCAAGATGAATCAATGTATGAAACTTAAAGGAATAACTCTTCAATATATGAGTATATGGTGCTTTAGTTACAATGTAAGCAAAGAAAAAACTGCCCTCTACAGAAATGTAGTCATTCTCTTTATAGTGGAGGATCTTACTTTAGATATAATTAAAAATATATAGTGGAGAAACCATGATAAGTCAGTTTTTCCCTAATTTTCGCCGAGATTCTCTCCCTTAATGTGTTTGCAACGGCTCTTGTCCGTGAGCTCGAGCTCGATCGGCCTCGGTACTGGTCGGTATTGCTTCTAGAGCTCGATGTGGACTCGGGATCAGGTGATGATTCAGGCTCGGCATCGGTTGGCCTCTGCCTCCTTAAGCTCGAAATCATCTCATCATAATTCGATTCGGACCCGAGCTCGATAATGATTTCGAACTCGGTGTTTGACATATACCTGAAATTTGAAGCTCGTTCATACCATCTTCGGAACCCATCTCTATATTACGAAGTCTTTCTTCGATCCATTATGTTTCGACCTCGATCAATCGTACGAAGACTGAAATCTATTTCGACCGTATACAGATAGTCTCCTCGATTCTCGGGAAGGATGTGGTGACAAACGATATGATTTCTCAATGGCTCGATTGGATATGCGTTGACGTTTGCATCGAGCCCGACCATGACGTCCATGATAGTTGTCTGTCGGTTTAGCTTACCAAGGCATTTAATGCGTGTCAGACGGTGGTCGGCCACCGCTGATATTGAACCGTCATTGCTTCAATTTATAAATAGCCCTTTCTTCCACTATTTATCACTTTTACGTCTTCAATCTTCAAAAAACAATTTAAGTTCCTTTTCGACTCTTATGAGTTCATTCGCTGATCTGTGACTCTTTTCTGCAAAATTCTTCTTCTAAACCACCAAATCTTTGTCACCTTCTTTAAATCCAAAAATGGTGAAGACATCAAAAACCGTCCCCCAAAAAGAAAAAGCTTCTTCTTCCCAATCTGCCGCCGACAAAACACCAGTGGATCCATGGCCTGAGGACTGCGTTCCGGCGGAGTGTGTTCTTACCTCCGATTTCAAACTCGATAAAGGTTCGCCTGTTCCTGGCCGATGTGAGCCCGTATCGAGATATATTTGTTCGATAACCGGGGAGGGGGGGGGCATATTGAGCAGATAAAAAAAGATTGTAACTGGGGGAACAAAGAAGTGGTAGTGCCGTCTCCCGAAGAGGATATTACTACTCACGTGAGAGGGTTTTTAAGTGTGTACACTTACCCTTTCACGTTAGGTCCTCTCGACCCTGTTATCATAGATTTTTGTCGTAAATACCTAATAACACTATGCCAGATCCATCATTCTTTTTGGCGGATCATTATTTAGATCTGATACTTTGTGAACAAAATCGAGGGGATGCCTTTCACCCTCGATCATCTCATCCGATTGTACCGTCCTTGCCTTTTTCAAGGAGGGTTAATAAAACTTCAACGTCGAACTACCAAGGCTCTGTTCTCGAGCATAGACGAGGACAGGGATCGAGGCTGGATGGGCAGGTTCGTTCGAGTAAGGACTTCAGACCTGATTCTGAATGAAAAGATGCCTTTTCCCTAGGAGTGGAACATGAAGCGTAGGTGTAATTCTGCTATTATCTCCTACTATTTTGTCCTTTCATTTCTTTTCTCACCGATATCCCCCTTTTTGTGATGCAGCGGTTCTCTGGATGCCCGACGCAGTGCCCGATCTCAAGAACTGGGTACGAGATCTGGTTTCGACCTCCTCATATGCCGAGCGCTCATGGAGTGACTTGTCAAAGGGCCGATGGGAGGCCAAAAATTATGGTAAGCCCTTTCTCGTATTTTTTGGTAGTTCGAACAAGATGCTTTTCATACACTTTAATAAAATTTCCCGTATGTAGGTGTGGGCAACGATGCGGTTTTGAGGCCCTCGTCCGTCGAGGAAGAGGCCTCGGCCTCTATCCCAAAGCCGGTGAAAGATAATAAAAGGAAAAGAGCCTCCGTTCCTGAAGATCCAAAATCGAAGAAGAGGACGACTCGTAAGCCGAACAAGAATACCATTTCTTTGACTGTAGAATCAGTTCTGCATCTAAGGGATGAATACGAAGAAGAAGAAGAAAATGACGGGTCCGCGCTGGCGGCCCGAACGAAGAAGACCATCGACATTCCACAGGCAGCTGGATCGATGGTGGTTCACAAGGCTCCGCCTCGAACTGAGGATATATCGGAGAAAGATTCGGGCAGAGTCCCCAAGTTGTTGGAGATCGAAGATGCTTCCCATCGAAGCCAACAGATGGGGGATATGTCTGAAGGGGCTCTCCCCGAATCTCTTCGAATCGAAGAGAATGCTCCAAGTGATTCACTTGGGGCAGTAGCAATCGAAGACTCGCCCACCTTCCCTGCTTTTTTCGTAGGGGCGATTTGGGAAGCCCAAGCTTTAGGGGCCTCAAACTAGACATGCCTCATGATGGAGAGGATCCTTTTCGTGACATGTTTACCGGTGTCGTGGACGCTACTGGTACAAGTGATGCATCAGATCTTTTTTACGGAGTGCAACAAGCTTTGAATCAGGTAAGCCTTAAATTATTTTGTTGGCATTACCTTTATGTTTTGTTTTGTTTTCTAACTTCGTTTCTTCTTTATTTGTAGGCCGCGTTAGTTTATCGAGAAGCATGTTCTCGGTCCCGAACTGAGCTGCGTCGATATGAGGCCGACCTTCAACGGGTTACGGAGGAGAGGAACTCCCTTAAACTCCTCTTAGGGAAAAGGGGAGAGGAAATAAAAGACCTCCGAGCTGAGTTGGCCAAGGCTTACCGACCTCCGAGCTGAGTTGGCCAAGGCTTACCGAGATCAGACCGGTCTGTCCGAGAAGGTAATGATACTTTTAAAAGCCTATGGGCTCGATATCGGAACGATGGCTAATTTTCGGTCTCACAGCTGCAGCAGAAAATTGAGATGATCGGGAAACTCCGTGAGAAGGTCGATGTGATAAAAGCAGAGTCTTTGAAGGGGAAAGAAGGTATGGATCGCTTTGCTTCAGAGAAAGAAGCTGCTCGAGCCCAATTATCATCGGCCAAAAACCAACTTCATAGTATGAAGGAGAAAAGCTCAGTTCAAGCAAGAAGAATAGAGGAGCTCGAGGCTCGGTTGGCCTCTGAACTTGCCAAGGCCGAATCTAACACTGAAAAGGCAAAGGCCGATGCGGATTCACTCGTGGCCATCTATCGGGACGATGTTGAAGCTGCCTAGGTCCAAGCAAGAGAGGTAGCCGAGACCACCAATACTCGAGCACATTAGGTCGTTGAACTTGCTAAGTTCCGATCTCGAAGGGAGACCCTCGAGGAGATCCATGCTCGAGGTTTCGATCTCGCTGAAGAGATAAAAAGGGCT